TTTGGATTCTTTGTAAAGTATTTATATTTTTTAAAAACGTGTTACCCCAAATACCAATAGCATATGTTAAAACGCTATGAAAAAGACTATAGTATATTGATATTTTAATATTATGTGGCACACGCTCACCTAATTTTTTAAACAAGCCGGCAATTTTTCTCGTTTTACTAATTGTTTCATTAACATGTTGATTCCAATTTAAATCTTCATCGACAGTAACACCCAGATACCTGTACTCTTTGACTTTATTTATTTTATTTCCGTTGAACTTGATGTAAATTTCGGAGCTTTTAGAGTTAATTAGCATGTATTTAGTTTTGCTCACATTTACCGATAATTTATGCACACACATCCAATTATAAATAGCTTCCATATCTTGATTAATATTTTTTTGCATATTATCGAAAGTTCTTTCTTTATAAATTACAACGATATCATCTGCATATATTATCGGTTTACCGAGTAGTTTAATTTTAGAAAAGTCGTTAATGTAATAAGCAAATAAAACAGGTCCCAAGGAACTACCTTGAATGACACCATAATCAATAAAATTGATATTACTTTTTACAGTATCACACTCAGCATATTGTTTTCTATATTCCAAGTAACTTTTAAACCAATAGTATGGTAAATTCTTAAACGTCAAATTTTACAAAATCTGAGTTGTCTGAGTTAACGGATACTCTACTACGTTTTTACTCTCAGTCAAAGTTTAAATTCTTAAACGTTTAAAAAAAGTCAATTAATCGTCAAAATTGTAGATTTTTTTTTTTACATGCAGACAGTCTGACGTAGTAATTCAGTAAATAAATTTGATGTGTTGAGTGACTATCATTACGTTAAAAATAATATAAAAAATATTTTTATTGTTAATTTTTAATGTGTAAGTATAAATTTATTTTAAATCTAAAAAAAAATTTTTTTTGTTTTGACGTTTACGGATGATCAAAATTCAAAGTCAATTACGGGTAAAAAGTTTACTAGATTTCTGTCCGTAAAAGTTTTAGTTTCAGACAGTTTGTAGACTAAAATCAAAATTTTGACGTTAAAGAATTTGCGGGTATTCTTTGCCTCTAACACCACATTCAAGTAATTTGCGCAACATAATCTTACGATCCACAGAATCAAATGCTTTACTCAAATCGAAGAAAACCAAACCGACCTTCTGATTTTTACATACAAGGCTTTGTATATAACTTACTACATCAAATAATACAGTATTAGTATTTGATTGTTTAATGAAACCATACTGTATTTCAGATAATAGATTGTTTTTATATAAATATTCTGTAAATTGTTTATTTATGTATGTCTCAATTAATTTACTAAACACCGATGGAATAGAAATTGGACTCAAATTATTTACATTACTTTTATCACCAATTCGCTTGTATACTGGTATAACTTTATTAATTTTTAATTCATCAGGGACACAGCATTCTTTTATAGAAGAATTAATTAAATTGGTGATGGACTTTGCTAATTCTCCACTGCATTGTTTTATAATTATTGAATTTATATCATCTATCCCTGCACTATTTGTAGAAGAGAGTTTATTAATTAAATTTATTGTTTCTCTTTCATTAATTTCTGCAAAGTGAAGTCTGGTATTAGTTATTGTTTGTGGAACATATGTAGAATTAAACTTTGCAGCCATTACTTTACCTATATTACAATATGACGTGTCATTAAACTCATTAATTTTGTTCTTTTTCTCAGTTAAAGAGACAGTGTTTGTAAAAAATTCATTAGTTTTTTTATGACTGTCTGTGAGAATTTCATTAACTAAATTCCATATTTCTTTTGGATTATTTAAACTTTTTTGAAAATTATGTGTGTCATATTGTTTACGTTTTTTTCTTTTTAGAGCAGTGAATTTATTGAGCCAAAGTGATATTTTTCTTTAAAGTAAGTATTATTTGGATCTAGACTATATTTATGATACCAACAATTTCTAATTTTTATTAAGCGAATACATTCACTGTCTACCCACGGTTTGCTATATTTTAAATTTTTATTAATTTTTTTTTCAAATGTAGTAGATTCGAGACAGTTGTTCAAATTTTCAACAATTTGCCTATAAGGTACAGCGGTAGCACTTGTTAAATTGTCAAACTTACAATTAGCCAGCTGATTCTTTAAAGCAACAAAATTTGTTTTCCTTTTCACATATGTAATTTCTTTAGAGTTGTTTGCAAAATTATTTTCATCAATTTCTAATAGTAAAGCATTATGATCAGTAAAATTGGTTCTTAAATGTGTAATAATTATTTTATTTTTTAGATTGTTTTTGAGAATGTGGTCAATGCAGGTTCCAGAGCTGGGTCTTGTCACAGAATCATCACAAAAGAAAAATCCATTGGTCTCCACAATAGTTTTATATTCAGAAGTGTTTTTATCTTGTGAATCATGTAAATTAAAATTGAAGTTTCCTATAACTATTGAATCTTTATTTAAGTAATTTAATTGTGAATCTAACAGTGTGAAGAATTTATTAACA